TAAGATCATATCCTTGTCCTCTCACTCACCACACCCTCCCTCCAAGCTGTAAGTTCTAGATTTGCAGTCCCCAAGGCTGTTCCTCTTCAGCCAACAAATAATGACAGTGATGACAGTTATAACAGCAGATGGCACTAAGAACCATCTTATGGATTGGGAATTATTATGCCTTGTGGTCAGGTGAGTAAATTGGGAACACTCCTGGAATTTAGGCTGCAGAATGCCCTCACCCAGAGTATCCCAGAGCACTGGTTGCAAATGCAGCCCATGTCCTCGGGGTGCTTACAGAATAGTGGCGGTTGCTCTAGAATGAGTTGGGTGAAAAGCTTTGCTGCTTCCCCACCTCTGCCATTTATGTTAAATGGTCCCATCCCCCCAATACAAAAGAACCAACTGAATGCTCATGACATGCCAGGCCTTCTTCCAGATGTTGGAGACCCACATTACCCAGGCACCATGGGACCTATCCCTAACCCAGCGGTTCTCAACCTGTGGGTCTCGACCCCTTTGGTGGTCGAACGACCCTTTTACAGGGGTCGCCTAAGACCATCGGAAAACACATATATAATTACATATTGTTTTTGTGATTAATCACTATGCTTTAATTATGTTCAATTTGTAACAATGAAATTGGGGGTCACCACAACATGAGGGACTGTATTAAAGGGTCGCGGCATTAGGAAGGTTGAGAATCACTGCGGGGCCTAACCCATCTAGGGGCCACCATTGACAAGCAGTGGGTCTGAAGTTCAGCATACAATGAAGAGCTTGGCTCTGGGATATGGTACCCCTGGGCTGGCATTCTGGCTCTGCCATTCACTAGGTATATGGCTTCAAGCAAGTTACTTAACCCCTCGGAGCCCAGTATTCTCAACTTGGAAGATAGTGCTAATAATCCTTGATAAATTCTGAAGTTTCTGCTGCTTCATTTTTTTACTTGACTGCAAGTCCTTCACATTTTCCTCCCCTCCAATCCATAAATATTCCCACAGCCCCAAAGCTCTGATTTTCTCCCAATAGTTCTCCACGGCCAACAGGATATGGCCTAAACTGTTTATCAGTCATTTGAGGCTGGCCACAATTCAATTCATTTATTCCACAAATATTTATTTCAGGCTTGCTCTGGGCCAGACCTGTGCTCGCACCAAGAACTCATGGGTCTCTGCCTTCCTGCAGCTTACAGGACAGAGGGAATGAGTGAACCTGGTGTCTCAAATGTATATAATTAAAGACTGAGGTAAAGGGTGTGAAGGAGAAAGTCCTTAAAGCAGAGGGTCCTGACCTGTCTGAGAGTACAGAAGGCTTCCCCGAGGAAATGATATTTGAGAGTCAGAAGGAGTTAATTAGGCAAAGTGGCAATAATGAGGAAAGGAAGAGGAAGAAATATTTAAGCAAATGAACTGACATAGGAAAGATGCTGACACTGGGGCTCAGGTAGCCAGGGAGAAAGTGGCCAAACATGAAGGGGGACAGAGGAGCAAGGTCAGGGCCATTGGGGCCTGGATTTTAGTCTTTATCCCGAGGGCAATGGCAGCTATTCTGGGCTTTAAAGCAGAGTTGTAATTGTAGAGGAGCGATTGGTGGAATATACATTTTCAAAACATCTCCATAGATACAGTGTGGAGAAAGGACTGGTGAGAAGAGAGAATGGAACCGAAAAAATCAATTAGGAATAGGCCAGGCCAGAGATGAGGTCTTGGGTAGGAAAGTGATGTTGAGGTGGGGAAAGGTATACAGATTTGAGAAGAATATAGATGACATTGGTAGGAATGAGTGATGAATTGGATATTGGGAGTGAGGGATAAGGAAGGGTCTTTGGTTTTTGCTGGTGCAACAGGAAAAAGCCAATGCCAGTCCCAGAGACAGGAACACTGCAGGTTTGGAGTAGGGAGAGAATGGGCTGGGTGGGACAGAATGGGTTTGAGCTGCCTGTGAGCCACCCAATGGTGCATGGTGAGAGGGCGGTCACAGGACCTGGCACCCTTTAGTCTCATTGCTCGGTCTTTCCTCTCCCCCAAACAGGATTGCCAGGTCAGTCAATTTTAAGGGTCCATCTGGGCCCAGCCCTGGAGTCCTCCCTGGGGAATTAAGAGTCAGGCTCTTTCCCTGCTTTCAAGGACCTCACCATTTAAAAGAGGAGGAAGCATACTCCCCATTCACTATGATGAAGGGAGCGGAGGGGCTGTGGGAGCAGGGAAGGGCCCTTGGTTCTGCCTTGAGCCCAGGCTGGTTCTCCAGGGCCACCTGCGGCCATGTGGGACTGCCCCTCATTCCCAGAGGGTTCTTGCCGCCATGCCTTCGCTCAGGTGCTTCCCTCTTCCTTGAGTACCTTTGTCTCCGTTTCCATCTGTATACGTCCGATCCATTTTCAAAACCTGTCCCAATGCCACTATCTTCAAAGAGCCCTTTTTCCCCCCCTCCCATTGCAGTCAACCTGTCCGCTGTGCCGCCAAAGCACACTGTGTACATCTGATTAACACTCTCGTCACACACAGTGCAGCAGCACAGTTACTTGTGTCCAAACCTGGCGCCCCGCCAGCGGGAGAGATCTTCCAGGGCAGGGCTGCGGCTCTTCTGTCCCCAGGGCTGGGCACAGCGGTCCCGCCGCCGTCGCAGTGAAGGCCAAGGAAGGGGGCGTTTTCTCTGCAGTCCTTGTAAATATTTGGGCATGCTCAGTGTCGCCGATTAGTCCCTTCCTAGAGCCAACCCCTCACCCACTACTCCCCAACCTTCTGATGGTCCCTCACTTTGGGAGGCTTTAACATTTCAGGTCCTTCTCTCCTCCACTCCTTGACCCCCCACCCCCCCACCCCCCGATCTTTATTTAGCTGCCACAGCAGCAGCCGGCTTGTTTCAGCAAAGAAATAGACCCAGGCTTTGTGCGGGAGCTGTCAGAGAGCCGGGGATGTGGCTCCTTTAAGAGAGACCAACGAGAGGGCGTGGCCTGCGGAGAGCAGGCCGAAAGTAGGCGCGGCTCCTTTAAGAAGCGGCCCGCAGACTGCCAGGAGGCCCCGGCCGGCAGGCTGGGGCGCGGTCGCTTTTGGGGCTGCGGCACCACCCGGAGCGCCCCGGTTCCTCAGAAGCGGGGTGCGTCCGCTGTAATCGGGGGTGTGAGGTGGGGAAGT